CCTATATATATATAATTATGCAAATTAACTCCGCCGAGGTGTTTTATGTACACAAGTCATGCACAAAAAGTAAATTTTACGCTATACTGCATTGTATATATATGAAAGGTTTGATTAGTGGTGAAGTTCTTGGGTTTTAAACCGTGGTTGGCAAGGAAATTTTTGCAATTGACTCATGTATGGTCAACGAATTAATTATGTACATTTTAGCATATACATTGTTTACTTAAAAACCACCAAAAGAAATATAAGTTTGACAGTATATCAAAATGTAGCGTTTTTATTCTGATGAAAGAACTAATTGTGATATGGAACAAGTAGAGTAATGATGTAATTTATAATCCCTTGATTAAATAACATGGAGTTGTTTTTAAAATTTAAATTTTAAATATACAGCTATAGTAAATACTTAGAAAATAAAATAGTTATTTATAATAATCCTATTCAATTTAAGCAAGATTGTTTAACTATGTTTAACTCTACAATCACACCACAAAAAATATCTCCCTTCCACTGCTATCTCTTTTCAGACAATAGGAGAGCTAGGAGATGACATGAATTTCCTGTTGCCCAAATCCAAACATAACAACCATTTTCTCCATCAAGCTTTGTCAAAGATCAAATCATGAAAAAATAGGGATGGTGTCAACGATTTCAGGCTAATGAAAGGTCACCTAAAAACTACATGCACTGAAGAATTTGTCGTCAAAGAACCCTCAAGAACAGCATTCAAATGCATCATGTCCCACTACCATCTCTATACTGGAAAGTGTAAGAGCACTGGTTGTTCTGACTGGAACAGCTGGCATCTGATGATTGTATTCAATTATATCAAAGTATGAGGGTATATTATTGATTTTACTGTTTTATAAACATGATAGTATTGAATTAAAAGAGAAAAATGAATTTACCGAAAGCTCACTTGTCTAGGGACAACCACTGCAGGAGCTGCAACTGACACAGGGAACATCATTGCCAGTGTCAATGTGCAAACAAATTCTGCTGGAATACCCAATTGCACCCTTGTAAAGTGGACCCGGACCATTAATTTCAAATTAAAACAAAAACAGAAGATATAATGCAAGGAAAAAAACTGACAATTTGGGTGTGGAAGGAAATTTGGACATTTTCTTACCATTGTATAAAAGTAAGCTATCTTTGTCCATTAAAAAAATTGTGAGAGTTGAATTTTGTGAATGATTTAAAGAGCTTCAATCATAGATTGCAGCTATCCCAACAAGAAAACAGAATTAGAATTGAGGCCATGAACACATTAATAAGATATGACACTAATTGATTGCATTTCAACTATACAATCTTCAATATAGTTCCAACTTGATATTATGCCAAAATAAAGTCACCTTCATAACCACCAAGGTTCCCCATATCAAATTCCACTGTTATTGGCAATTTGGTGCTGAGGAACAGATTTGTTAAAGCCGTAAATCAATTAAGTAATGCACTAGTATATGTATACATATAAAAGGTGAATACCACAGAACCTGTGATAGAATACCTCATTTAATCTCATGAAATATTAACACACTACCAGCTATTGATCGACCAGTACCAGGATTAAGAAGAAAAAGGCTACCTTTCAATTTCCCTGCTAAAAATAGCAATAAGTCACCTGCAATGGTAAATCTTGCAACACCCAGTATCATGGACAATATTCATAATCTTCTCACCAATCCTTGTAAACACTACACAAGTACAATATCAAATAATTTCTATCAATTAAAGAAAAAGACATATATTACAGAAAAACAAAGGACCAATCACTTGTACAGTTACATCTTAATACTCAAGGGTTAAAATCAATTGGAGATGCATTCCAGAGGTTGAAAACATGCTATCTTAGAGCAGTGCCACTCTAGGGAAGCTGCCTTTATTGGCCCTATCAGGACAGCCCAAAAAGAAAGTGCTGTTCAACTTTATTAGTTTCCTATCTTTTTGCACATTTAATCTCGAAATACTCAAACTTAGCAACCTATCAAATGACATTTTCTTTAAATTTTACCTCCAAATCATTTTCATGATTTTTCTTTCTAAAATTGTAATATATAAACTATGTCTGACGCTTATTCATATCTAGAAATCATTTGATTCCAAAGTTTGTCCTCAAAGCTCAAGTTTGAAGTTAACTTATTCTCTTGATTTTGAGCTAAAACTATATAACCCACAACAAAGAGCATTCCATTTAGGGATAATCTTTCGTATGTGGCTAAATAGCAAATTTAAGACTAAATTAAATAAGTAAAAACTTAAGGTTCAATTCTAATGTAAACTTATCTTAATATGAAAATCCTTGATCTCGACTCAAGGAGTTCTCACCCTTATAGTTACTCCATCATACATATTTTGTATATCTTTGATATAAATCATGTAAATATCTTTTCTTTTTTTTTAGGTCTTTCACAACACTTTTCTTTTTTGGCACTCAACTATATATCTTTTCTAACTCAATAAAAAAAATGTAAGTATGTTTATTTGCTTTTGAAAATTCTTTCCATCAATCCCATCGAAGATAAGTAACTTGTAATTTGAGCCTTTCTATCACAAATTAATTAATTAATATTAATTATCTTCAATCCCATTTTTTCTATTAATTTTTCAACAAATGCCCTTTCTCATAATTTATAGTGACTTACAAATTTATTCCTCTATAGTTTACATAACTTTAAATATCTCTCTTGTTCTTATATCGGAGAACCAAAGTGTTAATCATATACCATACTTATTTAGCATTTTCTTGGATAACAAAATATTATTAAATAGCAAAGTGAACTAAATGACACTCTGTTCTGATATATATTTCTGAACTTCAATAGAAGTAACTTGAGGATCAATAGTTTTACCATTAAAAACTATTTTTTACTCAAAATTTACGATAGAATATTAAATTTTATGTCTTCTTGGATTTTTAATCCTTTCATATTATAGATAAATTTCTGTTCACTATTTAAAAACTTGTAAAAAAATGTGAACAAAACATATATTTACCATTTTTCAACCACAAACTAAAAACAAACATAATTTCATGAATGCTAGCTGTACTCTTTCTAATACATTTTTATTAATATTATTCTTGTTGTTGGTTATATTTCATTTAATATATCTTAATTGAATAGTAAGACTCATCAAAAATTATTATTTTAACCAATTAATAAATAAAATATTAGGAAGTAAGTGTCAGAGGTTGCTACTAATTTTTTTTAATTTGCAATTTTATAATTTCTGTTTTACCCAATTCAACCATGCATGCAGTATAATAGGACATGTATATACACGGTGTACTTTGACAAGAAGACAGCTATGGATTGTTACATATTGAGAACCCCTAATTTTGTTTTAATATATTTGTTACCTATTTCATTTAATTTTTTAATTCCATAGGGGCTTGCCATCCAACTGTGCTCAGAAAGTGCCTGAGCTCTGTTTCCCCCCCTGAGAAAGTTCCTGCATGTCTTTTCCCAGCACTCCTTATCTGCCTCGGCCAACTCAAATCGACACTTCAAATCTTCCGCTAATAATCCTTTCTGTATTATAACAATAAGCTCCAAGACTTTAATGCAAAAACTGTGAAATATGCTAATGAATAATAATGTTATGAAGTTACCTCTATGACATTCTTATTGAGAAGGTAATGAATCAGATGAAACAGTATATCTCTTGTATACTCGGGATGACCCTGAATTCCAAGAATATATGTGGTCTACCATTGCAAACATTTCCACCCGTTTTCTCTGCTGACCATGCAATCACTTCTGCACCATATACTTTCTTTACCTTGGAAGAAGATGAGAGAAGTCAAATTGTTGAGTGCTGCTTCCAAGAGTATGCCATGCACATGCACCCTTTTATAGATTCCAATTAAAGAAAAGGTCATTGGATCATAGGTTACCCAAATTCTGTACACTCTAAAAATGTGATCTTACCTTTTTCTTTTCCATCAAATTTAAGTTTTATACACTCTCACTAGTCTCACACACAGCGGTCTT